GTTGGTTATTATTTATCTGATGCATATGTTGTAACAACCCAAAATTTTCAAAGAAAATTTTAATTTTTAATTAACCAACCACATTTCCAGAAATCCACAATTTCCAAAACAACTGTTTCAAATCCATATTCATGACAACTTTATTTTCAAATATCAGAATGTCCCATAAAGTCATCTGAGAAAGAGTGCACGTCGCGCCATCAAGCTTTGTCCTTGCCCTTGGACTCAGATGAACCTGAAACAAATCCACAAACTATAAGCGAATGCTTAGTGAGTCCCCCAGAGCGTATCCCACACCCAACCACATAACACATATCGAATTAGACATACGCTACATATATCACATAAGTCATGCATTCGACAAATAAGGAAGCCCTGTAAACCCTCCCGGATCTTATACCAAATGCTACGGGAACCCCCACGTGGTCTTTGTGTGCCATGGGAACCCCCACATGGTCTTCTTGCCTTGGGAACCCCCACAAGGTCTTCCTACCAAACAAACATAATGCAAACTATACAAGCAAATATTTTAGGATGCAATGGAAACCCTCCAAGATCCTATACCAAAAGCCACGGGAACCCATACGTGGTCTTCCATGCAAATACCATACTATCATATCACACATCCAATCAATAACCGTATCTCATAAAATGGTCCGGCCTTGGTGCCTTAGACCCATTGATATGGTGAGAATACTCACCTCTCACAGGCTGAACCGGTAAATTGTAGTTAGATATATCCCACGCTGCTCCTCCCAAACTGCTTATAATCAATGCGTGCATGACTCAGCATAATCCCATAAATATCCCCAGGGTCAACCCTGGTCAAAGTCAAGATCTATAGTCAAGGTCAACAGTCCATATTGACCTTGACTCAACGAGTACAATTAGTCACTCGTCAGATCCACTGCTTCACTCACCGACTCGTCGCGTCATCCGAGGGACTTGTCGAGTTTCTTGATGTTCATGGCCGTAAACCACCAATCGTACACCCCTAACCGTGAACCCTTGGCTGTGAATCTTCTCGACTCGACGAGTTCTCACATAATCGGTTCTTTCCAGAGGGATTTAAGGTTGCAAAACTTTAGATCCATACTCTCCTAGTGAAGACGTCACGTAAAGTTGCAAACTTTACGTGCATGCATAGCCTCACATGGCCATAACACCAAAACTAACATTCAAACAAGGTTTTTATGCATGAAGAGGGAATGGGCTCAATAAAAGATGCAACTTTAGATCCATACTCTCCTAGTGAAAATGTCACGTAAAGTTGAAAACTTTACGTGCATGTATAGCCTCACATGGCCATAACACCAAAACTAACATTCAAACAAGGTTCTTATGCATGAAGAGGGAATGAGCTCAATAAAAGATGCAACTTTATGATATTTGGGGCCTAAGAAGATCCAGATCTGTAACCATATCCTTGTGATAGGTCCAGATCTATGCTTGCTTCCATTTCCTAAAAGTTGGTCGCAACTCTCAAATAGAATTTATGCTTACGTTAACAGATTCATACCTCAAATCAATGTCCAAGACAAACTAGATGCTATATCTAGTGTTTTTCACTTGATACTTCTTCTTCAAGCTTGGAATCCTCCCCAAAATCTCAAGGATAAGCTCCCAATTGATCTTACTTCACTCACAAGAGGGTGTGCGGACGTAAACGTTCTTTTATGGTGCTAAGGGAGGCTACTGGGGCGGATAATGACGTTTATAAATGGGGCAAACCCAAAATTTAGGGTTTTCTTTAAACAGCTCGGACTCGCCGAGTCAGTCCCATTCTACGTTTCTTGATCTCACGCCCCTACTCGACGAGTTGACCTCCCAACTCGCTGAGTCCATGCATAGATCCTTTCCAACTCAAACTAGGTGTTACATATGTCGACATAGTGTGGTTGGGTTGAGGATTTACTACTCTGTGTTGTAAGTCAACAAACCCAGGGCAACCAAGTTTCATGAATGTGGGCCACAACATTCTAGTCTGATGACTATGGACCCGAAGGTAATCCAGTCTGATGAGTGTGGACCCAGTATGCATGCTTGTATATGTTTTTTGTGTGAGGTATTTTAGGGGAACTCACTAAGCTTTGGCTTACAGTTGTGTTCGTAGTTTTAGGTATACCATATGATCGGGGCAAGGCGAATGCGTGATTGTACACATCATCCTTGGGATTTATGTTGAGAGATGTTATTGGATTCTTTAATTTTATGACTATGTTTTGGAAACGGTGTTTTATATGAATTATGGATTATGAAAATAGTTTTTGAAAAATGGAAATTTTTATCATGATTTTTGGGATGTTACATGCGGATATTCCATGAACGCACTGTGTAATGAACAAAAATCACGATCAAAATATGATTCCATGTCCAAAATTACCTATTTCAATGTATTTTCCAAAATTACCTATTTCAATGTATTTTCCAAAATTTTTATCATGATTTTTAGGATGCGAACTACCTATTATTAGCGATGTGATTGCTGACAATTTCAATGTATTTTCCAAAATTAAATGAGTGTTAAAGAAAGAAACCGAAGTTGGACAACAATGCAAAATTCCAAAAGCAAAAGAGTGTCCAAAGGAAAAAGGTGTAAAGATCCATATATATCTCAAAGTGGGATCAAAGAAGAAGATACATAGAAAAACATGAAATTCTTTTCTTGCTATCATAACAAGGATATAGGAAGTTATTCGAGCAATGATTAACCTCCAAGAGTTGATTAAGTATCGCAAGTTTTGAAGAATGGAAAAGAGAGAAAATAAGAAAACACAAGGAGTGCTATGAATATGGGAAAACAAAGGTAAAGGATGATACGAGAAAGAAAATAGATACATACACATTCACATACATATACATACACATACACATATACACATACATACACATATACACATTCAAATACACATTTAAATTAACATACACATACACATTCATTTATTCATGTGTTAAACGTAGTTTTTTCTATTTTTTTGTGTGTTAAACACATTCATTGTTATTATTATTATTATTATTATTACAATTATTATTACTACTACTACTGTTGCTGCTATCATCATCATCATTATTGTTGTTGTTGTTGTTTATTATTGTTATTGTTGTTATTATCATCATCATCATTTTCCATTATTCGTGTGTTACATTTGTTTTTTCTGCTTCATGTTTTATCTGTGTATATGTAACACAATAATGTATGTGTATCAAGGAGGGACGGAAGCATGATTTCATAATAGGGTTGGCACGAGAAATTTAATATGTGTATATGTATGATAAATATGTAAACAAAACGAACCAAAAAACACTACGTTTAATACTTGAAAAATAAAAAATGACAACGATGACGATGATGATGATGATGATGATGATGATGATGATGATGATGTTGAGATAAGAACTTATGATTAAAAGATTATGGTGTGGAATATTTAAACTCATGGATCTTTAGATAGTTTTACAATAATAAGATTGCAGAATTAAAAAAGAAACATAACAACAAAATACAACATTAAATGTAAGCAAGTTTAAATATACTTGTTGAATCATAACATGGTTTGCATGCAAACACAAGTTAGTAAATGTTGAACAACAAAGTATAATAAGATAATGGAGATAAGGACACTTGAATTTCAATATCATGAAAATTACAAGGAAGATAAGATCAGACACACATTCTATTGATCAACATGACCATCTATTTATAGAAGCAAAAAGTACATGTTTTGAACTAGTCAATACAAAAAGTGAGATAAGGATAGGCGGACATACTTACCACATCTAAACTAACACATACAACCAAACACTCAATGTTAGCAAAAGCTGATCATTGTACTATCTCCTCGGATACACAAAAAGAAAAATCAACATCAGGTCTTCAGTAAGTCTCCTTCAACTTCGGTCATCATAACTTCTTCGCCATATCAAAAGAGACAACTCTTCGCATCTTCATCACCAAAGTCTTTGCAACAACAAAAGATCTTCTTAGCTGCCGAATGTCACTTTTATGTATCAACAAATAATGATGATGATAATAATAGAAATGGTAATAATAATAATAATAATAATAATAATAATAATAATAATAATAATAATAATAATAATAATAATAATGTTAATGTTAATGATAATAATAATAATAATAATAACTAGAGGGGTTTCCCGCGCGTTGCGCGGACGAACGTGTCATTTTGTGAGATAAATAATGAAGTACATTGCATAAATTAGTATCCACATTAAAGTATGTTGTTATTCTGTGTAATTTGCCAGAAAAACGCTATAAACATTGATCCAAAACATAAGCTTGTGCTGACGTTTAATTTTCACCGGATCAACTCATGGACTCCTCCCGAAAAATTTTGTCCAAAGCCAACCTATATACACAATTCTAAAAAATTTTATTAAAGCCGGTAAGCAACGGTACAAACGCAGACAACAATTTTATGTCATCGGAAAAACATCATTAGGTGCAAAATCGTCCAGATTAGATAATTTGCATACAATGAGATGTTATTTTTTATTTTATTACAAAACCTTTATTGGATGTAACCCAAATCTAACAGAAACCAGGAAGTGTGGAAATGAAGATCAAGATTCATACGAACAAATTCAGATGGAGATGTATCAATATTACATTTGATTTTGTTTGAGGTGGGTGGTTCCGAACTCCGGTCGCTTGAAGATGTTCCAAAAAGGGAAGAAGCATCTCGGAACAATATTGAAGCTCTATAAAAAAACACAACACAAATCATCAGAACACACAAAATAGAGGACGGGGGTGGAGAAGTTGTAGGTGGAACTTACTGATTTCTTTAAAGTTGTCAATTTTTTTTATCGTCATGAATCGGTGTATAAATGCCAAAAAAAACATTACCATAAAATAATGTCTACAAACATCAAAATTACATTAAAAATAGAAGTCAATAAAACCTTTTCACATTATAAACCCCTATAACTAATTAAAACAAAAATGAATATGTAGAAAGCAGATAGTGGTACCTTATTTAGTGCTTAAGAGGAGATTGAAGATGTTTTCCAAAACAACATACAGGTACTTTGTAGCTTCCATAAATCTGATGCAAACCACTGAATTTAGATGTACAACACTCCTTTATATTAAATTTGTTCCATGGGTTTATATGTACAAAAACTCCAATTAAAAGGATGTGTATAATAAAGAATCCAAAAATAATTGTATGAGTACACATCCGGAATCAACTAAAACATAAAATTGAGAAAAGATTAACCTTTAACAATAATTGACCTTTTCAATTTAATTGTTTCAAATGTTCTATTTTAATATCAGAACCACTTTCACATCTGTTGAAATGCATAATAATAATAAATAAATAAATAAATAAAATTAAAAATTTTAGTTTTCACATATCTATGATTTTAGGCCAGTTGAATTAAAAAAATAAAATAAGGTTTGTCAAAACTAATCGTTAGAAACTTGTAAACTAAATACTTACTTCTTCTTCTCCATCTAAGGAAGTTCGGTCTTTGTATATCTTTCCACTACCACCAGATAGCGTAAGGTATGTGAGCTTCAACATTACTCCCAAATCATGTTTCGCTCCTCAGTCGATTCATAATGTTCTTTTTCTTCTTAGCAGACCTTCAATCAGTAGCAAGTGATGCCCTGAATAGACTTACAATAACCCTCGTCTTTAGATACAAAGTGGATTGATATCTAACCATTGATACGTTGATTCTCCATTCCCGAACCACTATTGACACATACGATAATTAATATCAGAAACATACAAATCATGTGTAGAAACTTATAAAATTGATTCTCTTAAACATTTCATCGAACATATGGCATGCCAAATTGACCTAAAAATATATCGGGATGAAATTGCAATACCTGTGCAAGTAGTTTTTAGATTTCTGGTCTTAAGAGGGGGGAATCATATTGAAATCATCTGCAAATTAATAAAATACATGACTTAATGGGGAGAATACCTGTTAAAAATGATCACATAAAATAATCGATATCAGAAACCTATAAATCATGTGTGGAAACTTATAAAAATGATCACAGAAAGCTCAAAATCCTGTGTTCAGAACTTGAAAACCATCCATACATACCTTCAAAATGAAGACAAGCAGGAATTAAGCTTCGTTCTCTTCTTGTTATTGTTTATCCTTTCCAAGCAACTACTTGCCTTCATTGTTCCTATTCTCCACAAATGAATCCTCAAACATTACTTCTCAAATGCAGAAGAGACAGTAGTTTGTCATGGTCAGCAATAATCATCGATTGAGTGGAGGAAGACAAACAAATAAAATTATAGAAGTACCTGTAAGGCCCGGTAGCAGCATGCGATAATCTCTAATGGAAGATTGAGGGTTTTTTGATGAATCCTCTTTGGGAAATTGAGGGACAGTGGTGGAAACTTTGAGAGAAACAGTAATAGTTTGATGGTTGTGCTATTTTAAGAAGTTGCATACCCATTTATATAGATATTTGGAGGAAAACAAAAGCTCCATTGACCACAATGCCTTCGGTCACTGCCATCGGCAACCCACGCCTCGCACCACGTTGCTGCTTCCCTGTTGAACTACAGTGGATGAATCGATTGTGGTTTGGAGTAGCAGGGGTGAGACGACCGAAGTGATTAACAGAGAAAGACAAAAAGAAAATATGAGACGGTGGAGGGGCGAAAACCAAATCAATTGCAGAGAAAGGTTGAACGAAAGAGTCGATGGAGGTGAACCTGGTAAGAGATGCGATGGGAAGGATCGGGAAGCGGTAACCATGGTAGAGGAGAGTAACCCGAGGAACAGTACCCTGGTCAGGTACTGTTCCTAACTTTCATTTCCTTAATATATATATATATATATATATATATATATATATATATATATATATATATATATATATATATATATATATATATATATATATATATATATATATATATATATATATATATATATATAATAAATGGTAATAATAATAATAATATAAAAAACTGCATTTAATTCTATATAATCCTTTTATATGGAATGGTGTTTGGATGAGGTTGAAGTAGTTGTTGCATCCTCTACCCATACAACGTTGGTCCGTGTTTGAACTTCGATCATAACATTTTTAAAATTTTTTTGAGTTAGCGATATTTCGTCGGTACCGTTGATTTTAATAAGATGCTCGATCTCCGAAAATGTATTCAACACTTACAAAAAAAAACTATGTTTAACACACAAATAAGCAGAAAAACTACGTTTAACACATGAGTAAATAAATGTGTATGTGTGTATGTATGTATATATGTATGTATGTGTGTTTGTGCTTGAGTTGTTAGAATGAAGAAATTAATAACAATCCAAGTTAAATCTCAAATGCTACCATCAAAGAGGGTTAAACATAAAAAAAGAAAAAAAATTCTAAGGTTGTTGGTCATTTACGATTCAAAAAAACAATACATGAATGTTGCTATTTTGGAATAACCTTCGGATAAGAAGAGAATCAACTAGTAAATAGGTAAGATTATAAAATCAAATTAAAATTTGGAAATTTTGTTAGGATCGGATTAGATCTGATCATACGATCTTATCTGCGATCTACAAAACAATCCTATTACAGTGCGACTAAGCTTTCATAGATATATGATCAAGATCTCATTTTTTACGGTCTTAATTTTTAAAATTTAGTTCATTCATTTTTATCATATTTCGTATTAAAGTTTTAAAAATCATCAAATTATAATCTAATTTATCGAGACTAATTGCATGAAATTTAAGTATTTAATATTCTCTTTATCTCATATTTATTGTTTACTTATGATTTTTAAAGTCTTTATTCTTCAACTTTGATTTTAAATTATTTTTTTATATGTATAATATTTGATGCAAAATATATAAATAGATTGTTTTTAAAAATATATTTTTATTGTTATAAGTTTCATCAATTAATTTATAATACAAATAAAAATATTTAAGATTAAAATTGAAAAATAAAATATTTAAAAGTAAAAAAATAATAAATAAATATGAAAGGGAAGAATATTAACCAAAAGTCGAGATAAATTGAAAATTATATACGGAACGAGGGCACAAGGATAATGTTTCCGGGAGCGATGATGCTAACCGGCGCTGCAACCTTTCTTCACCGGTGTTCTCCGGCGAGGACAGTTTGCTTGGCTTCTCGAACCGACACCGATCAATTACGAGATCAACTCGATCAGCTTCACTATGAGGCTTCAAACACCAGAGCTAAAGGTAAACCTTATTGAATCCCACCTACAATCTTAGGTTTTACAATTGGATGCCACATACAATCTTCATTGCAAATCAAAGAGTTTCATATGGCTTTAAATGTAAATCATATCACATTTAGCTTCAAAAACATATGATCCTTTTAGGTAAACCCCTTGGCAACAAGCCTTCATTAAAGAAGTGATGAATATGGTTATCTCAGCTAATAAAGCAAGGCAGAGGCTGTTGCGGTTGTCTGAAGCAGCAGAGAAACTTCAAAGACAGGCAGCCATTAGCGTTCAAACTGGAAAAGAAAACGAGGCTAGAGATCTGCTATTCCAAAAGAAGAAGACTATGCAAGCTTTAGAGAAGACAAAAAGTCGAATCGAGTTGCTTGATGAACTCTCAACTAAGCTTATTGAGGTCTGTTCATCCATTAACCTTTTCTATCACCAATTTCGAGATTTAGAAGCTACATTCCATGTACATCACTTTTGAGTATTCATTTGATATTCCTTCCATCTGGTGTTAGGCAATATCTCTGCGAGAACAGCAGCTTGTTGGGACAGTTGGTCAAGATGTTGAAATTGAAACAGAAGATGATACATCTCCAGTTAGGGTTGTATCTCCACCTTCTGAAAAGGATTTGCTGAATTCTACTGATGATCAAGAACTGCAAGATAAAATCTATAACATTCCCACCGAACTTCAAGATTCTTTGGAAGTTCTTGATAGTGATAGTGACCTGATCAGTAGCTTGACCGAGTTGACTTCTTATAGAGACTTGTTGGATCGTATTGATCGGCATCTGAACAAAATTGAAGCTGACCTTATGACAGTTGTGAAGTTCTCAAGCTTGATTCTTGAAAGTGAGAAAAGCCATGAAAATGTGAAGGTGAAACAACTGGTGGGAATTCGTGATGCTGTTCGGGACCTTAGAAAAAGGTATAATCTACACTTTATTCAAGATGATTACTCCTGCTGAATATTTGACTTTTTTCTGCTTGCAGAATTGCTAACATTATGCAGAAAGAAGCAGAGATGAAATGAATATGTATAATCGTTATGATTTTGTTGCAGAAGGTTAGCATGTGATTTGTAAAGCCATTATCTCATAGATGAAATAAGCATTTTTAGGCATATTCTTCTTCCAAAAACTTTTCTGTGTGATTACTTCTGGAGAAATAAAAAATTTATGAGTTACAACACCAATTATGATTACAAATTTGATTTAGGGTTTTTTTCTTTGATTTTGATTTGGGTGTAATTTTGTTTTAGGTTTGACTTTGGTTTTGGTTATGATTTATTCCCATGGTAAAGTTATAGTTTTCGTCCTAGTGATATGCTGAAAATTACAAGTTTCGTCCATTCTTATATTTTGTGACGTTTTAATCCCTCAAGTGCATATGAAGGAATTGACAAACCCAGAGATTTGAAGAAAAGTTGTAGAATTATCGACTAATAGATGTTCTTCAACTCCAAATCTTGTCACACCCTTGGAAAGGTGAGGATAGTTTACTGAACTTTAAAATCACAACCAAATTTTCATAAAGTATCCGAAGCATAAATAACAAGAATGTAGACAATTCTCAAGGCGTTATTTTGTTACATCAGTTTGATACGAAAAGAAACCAAGTCCAAGCATCAAGTTACATCCTCATTCACGTAATCAAATCATCTCATTTGTCTCTCCTCTCTACTTTGAATGTCACCATATCCCGTCACTGCATACATAAGGCCCAACATTGAAACAAAATCCTGTCATAAAGCTTGAGTGATTACAAACTTTCATTGGAAACAAAATAAAAAGTTTAAAAGTGAGGTGGAAAGTGTGTCTGTGTCATTCTAAAAGAAAGCCTGAGTAATGCACATGTTGGTAACTCCATAAAACACACAAAATCCAAGATTGTAGTACAAATACTTATAGATGTATGTTATCAGCGGCAGATGCAGGCTATGCCTAGTGGGGAGTATGACCCCATTTGGAAGTAGGTACACCCTGTATATTTTAAAAAATAACCCTAATAAATCAATATTTTGTTGAAAAAGTTCATATATGGCACCCACTTTGCTAAACAAATCCAAAAAAAAAAATCCTTAAAAAATCAAATTTTTATTTATCTATTATTTTTTTTTATATATCTGCTGGATCTCTGTTAAGTTCGGTTCTGAATCTGTCACCGGATGTTATTGTAATGTATCTTCAAAATATAAACAAGTGCAATGCATGATATATATATATATATATATATATATATATATATATATATATATATATATATATATATATATATATATATATATACCTTGTTTGATTCTCATCACCCAACTCGACTAGATAAGAATGAACTAGTCAAACTTCCCTATGGACTACCGTCTTTGATACAGTTGAAAGGTACAACCGCTACGACTGTGTATCATATAACCAATGGGAACCACAAGCCCCAATAAATTTAAAAAATAAATAAATATTTGAGGGTCACGTAGTTATTTTAAGTCTAATATGAATGAAAATCACTATAAAAGCATAAAACCGAACCATAGACATAGTCTAAGTGAAAATTAAAAAGATATAATGCAAGGACAATTTATTCTTAAATCTAAAAAAATCATGTTTGTTTTATATCAATAAAATGTATGTAGTTATAATTATTACATTTGATTTAAACTAAGAAATTAAATATATATTTTTTGTCTACTTGTCCTCCTACTAATATGAAATAATGACAAATGTTATATTTTGATAAAATTTATTCTAATAAATGAAGGGGTTTTTTTTGTCACATGTCACATTTGCATTCAATTTGCAAAATGTCATGTTTGGTTATTTTGAATTAATTTATTTTCCACATGTTATTTTATGAATTTTTTTTATTTAAATAAATTCAACATAATTCTTTAATGTAATAATTATAATAAATGTAGTAATAAATGAATATCAATTTCATTAATGGACTTACCTTTTTATTTCAAAATTCTCAAATTAAAGTTTATTAGTTTATTAATTTATTTTGTTTATTTATTTAATTTAAAAGATAAAAAAATCAATTTTAATAATTCATTATTTTTCTTATTTTCGTATAAATTCAAAAATATTTACATTTATATTTAATTTTTTTAATTAACCTATGTAATATATGAATCTTACACCTACTTAATAACAATTCAAGACACATATTATTATATTTTGATAAAATTAATAACAATTCAAAACAGATATTGATAAGATGATAAGTAAGCATGTGATCACCAGCCTAGCTGGTTGTGATGCATTATGGGTTATAGGTTTCAGTGAGTGAGATCAAGAGTTCAATTTTTGGTTGAGCACATTTGGAGGATTTTCTTTGGATTGGCGTGGGTTCGATTCTTCGTTCCCTTTGGTGGTGAGTGGTGCCCATCTTGGTGGCCCGTCAGGTATTCTTGATCCATCGGCTCGGATTACTCTTTATCTATTTGCTGGTTATTAAAAAAAATAAAAAATAAAAATAGTCGGTCCATTTTTAATACAAATGCTCATATTATCATACTAAGATTTTGTTGCCAAAGTTAATATTTCAAATTACCGAGTTTTTTTTTTCCACCTCGTTTTTGCCAATTACGAAAATTTTGTTACCACTGTCAACGATTTGTGCCGAATTTGAAGCGAGGAAGTATATACTATATATACAAGATTCCAGATAAAAATATCTGACATCTCCAATTCGCAACTTCAGTTCTCTTCGGGGTCATTCTGTCGTCATCACTCTTCCTTTTTACTGCAATTTTACATTTATATCAAAACCGATCCACCGCCTCCACCTCACTTCTCCTAATTTGGGCACTTCAATCAGTTTTAGGGTTTAATCGAAGAAAACCAAGGGACTGCTGTTCAGTCGAGTTTTCTGCTGATGCCGATCACATATCAATTCAAGGGGTATTTCTTCGTAATCCATACTACATACTTAATTTCTTGATTTAGTTCCAGTTGATTTATGAGCGTCTTGACTCTTGATTTTTATTCTACAATGGGTGATAAAATCCTTCTCTACTAGGTACATTTCTAAAGCGCACAAAAAAATAAGAACATAAAGATTGGTGAGATTTTCTGTTGTTTCGGTGAAAACTGTTGTTAAGTAATGGCAGTAGATCGTTTTCTTTTTTCGTATTCCTGCTGACATCGTAAATAGATTTTTTTGTTTTTTTTTTTTAAATTACATTTCCTCTTTCTTTCATTTATCCAATCTACAGTTTCTGAGCGCATCTTCTTTGTTTGATTACAAAAAACGGCTCTTTTACATTTGGGTACACTCAAAAACCCTAAATTTCCATTGAACTATACCGACCATGATCTATTTGCGCCTATATGTTGCTATGTTACATCTTTGACATAATGACATTCAAATATTTCTCAAATTTGTGGTTTCACTTTGTTTGTCATCAGCAGGGGTCAATTTTACTAGATTTAACAAATTACACACAATGGCTGATGAACCTGTGAAAGATTCCAATTCCGTATGGAGTAGAGAGCAGGATAAAGCTTTTGAAAACGCTTTGGTTGATTACCCTGATGAAGATGATGAGAATCGATGGGAGAAAATCGCTGGCGATGTTCCAGGGAAATCAGTGGAAGAGATTAAGCGTCATTACGAGATGTTAATGGAGGATTTGGATCGAATTGAATCTGGACTTGTTCCTTTGCCTTGTTATAGTTCCTCTCTGGATGATGACTCAGAAAGCCACGCGGGCAATGATGGTGGAAGTGGGACCAGTAAGAAAGCTCAGAACACAAGTGAATCCAATCATAATCATGGAGGTAAAGCCTCAAAGTCAGATCAAGAACGACGCAAAGGGATTGCTTGGACTGAAGATGAACACAGGTTAGTTATGTATTACATATTCCTTAAATTTATTGTGAGAGAATCAATATTCAATATTCAATAATTTAATATCCTCCTACTAAATATTCCTACTTATCCTCTACTCACCGGATCATGACAAGTGTCAAAATCAAAGAATAAGACGAGGAAAGATAATTAAAGTAGGAGGAAGTTTTATTTTCCATTTATTGTTGTTATGTTGGAATATGACTAGCGTTCCTTGAGTAAATAATTAGTATTTACTATTTAGTAACATAGGTTCATATATAATTAACAGAATATTAAATTCTGTTACAGGTTATTTCTTCTTGGTTTGGAGAAATATGGGAAAGGAGATTGGCGGAGTATATCAAGAAATTATGTGGTGACACGGACACCAACACAAGTAGCAAGTCACGCACAAAAATATTTCATTCGATTAAACTCCATGAACAAAGACAGGAGGCGATCAAGCATCCATGACATCACTAGTGTCAACAATGGTGACGTGTCGGTCCCACAGCCGCCAACAAACGCCAAACAAGCGCCAGGTGTCAGTATGTATGGCGGAACAACAATCGGACAACCGGTAGGACCAGCGGTAGGAACACCGGTTAGTCTTGCACCACCGCCACCACACATGGCTTACGGTGCACCTGCACCACCCAATATGGATCCTAGGGCATCGCGTCACAGATGATGAAGGGGAAGAAGGAAAGTTTTTTTAAAATTGTACAAACAAGAGTAGTAGCTAGGAATGGATCAACATCATATGTTGTGGTTTGACTTACGTGAGTAGAAATGATTCTGAATTTAGTTTGTTTTTATGAGATTAGTCTTTGATTATATTAATATTCTAATAAGACATATAGGTGAAGATTTTGCTTATTATATTAATTGTGTGCGTGGTTAAGTGACAGATATGTGTATTATTTGTTAAAGAAGTTGCTTGTTGTTGATATGCAACAATTTGCTTAGGGAAATTGACGTTGTGATTAAATAATTGTTTTATTCGGGTGGACGAAATAAAATCAAAATGTTGTTTACATTACAACAACAATGTTGGTGAGCATGCTAATTTAGTGTTATGCTATTTATTTTTTACTAAAATCATCAAATTTTGTTCAATATTTAATAGGAAAATAGGAAATTGTATTATAAAAATATATAATCATAATGATCTAAGTAGATATGTTGCTCATGCTCTACATGAGCCGTGTGCATCTGACTTAAGTGTTGTTTTTGTAAGTGTTGTTTTTGTTAAAAGATGCAAGTGAGATAATTCAATCCCTAATTTTCACAGACGGAGACGGATAGATAGAAACAGGAAAAAAACAAAAAAAGTAAATATGTGGACAAATATATAACAAATATATACTAAAAGAAGAAAATGACAGATGGCAGAAAGTGCAATGGACGGGAAAAAACAAAAAAATTAAATATGATGATAAACCCGGACTTTGCTCTGGACCGTTTTTTGTGTTTTTTATGAAAAAATATAAAAGTTTAGACCCTAAGGACCAAAATTGTCAAAATGGCTAAAGAATTAAAGAGGAAATTAGCAAGTTTTTAGAAAGGTAACCAATGTTGTCAATTCCTTAAAGTTTTGTGGCCAAACTTTGAATATAAAAAGTTTCTAAAAAATATAAAAATTTTGATTGCAATAATCAAAGATGTCAAAATGACTAAAAAATAAGGACAAATTTGACAAAAAGCATACATGTTCACTACTCCTAACTTTAAACTTTTTTTAATATATATACATTAATTTGAGATCTTTAAAATGAATTAAATATTAAATTTCATTTTCCAACCGTAAATATATACATTATCACTTTTATCTTAATAATTTTTTTTATGTAAAATATTGTTAATATATAAAGAAATAATTAAGTATGTATTATAATTGTTATGTTTTAATAGAATGATGTAATAGCAATGTGTTACGATTTTATGATTCCAATCAAGGTTGTAGAACTCGTTACTCGGTACCTGTTCGGCCAAGTAACGAGTACTCGAAGAGTATTCGGATTAAGAGGTAATATTTCCATTTAATAAATTGATTCATCCACTTGAAATGTATGTTTTACTAACTTATACGATAATTACTTAGGTGGTGTACCTAATGTGGACGAATCAAATTATTAAGTAGAAGCATCATTTTCCATTCGGATTCGGTAATTCATGTAAAATATTTTTCGGAAAATTATATATGTCAAAATCATAAATTAAAATCATAAATTGATTGAAATATATAACAAAATTAGATACATGTGAATACACAAACTGTAAAACGCATAATGGTTTCACTTCGTGATAATAAATCATTAAATATATTATACATATTAATCACTGGGTTGATCAAGTTTTATAATATTGTTCGCTTTAGCAAGGAGCCGATCAGGGAGTACTCGGATTCTGTGACTCACATCGGTAAGGGGCCAAATAATCGGTCAACTCGATGAGTTTTACAACACTGCTTCCGATACGTGATTGGAGCTAGACAAAAAGAAATTTAAAAAATAAATAAATAAACTTTGTAATAAAAGATTATCTTTGGTCCAAGGTTCAGTAAACTGATTTTGCAAGTTGAGTCCAAACTAAACTAATAAGGTTGGTCCGGACACTTGACATTGTCTCCTTCTTTCCGTTAACCTCTCTCAAGTCTCATGTGTCTTGCTCATAAGGGCATTTACTCTTTTTACGACACTCGCTTACATACTCTTACCGACATTTACCTTATCTACCCAAAGAAAAGAGTTTCAACATTGATCCTGAATGTTTGGCAAGAAGAAGCAAAGATAATCTTGAAAAACAAAACAATTTATGTGATCATAAACTTGTTATAAACTTCAGAAGTTGTGTTTTTTTACAAAGTTCTTGTCAATGTGGAACATTCGAGCTCATGGATGCGATTTAAATATGCAAGTTAGTTATGTTATTGATCATAGGGCCATGGGGGAATGATAATGACTGAGCTTATATGGAAATATTTATTGATATTTGTGGTTTTCTTTGAGTTTGATTTTTCTAATTTGTTTGTATGATATACAAAAGGTAATCCAAGCATGTTCACAGCAAAGATGTGCCATCAGGTACGCTTCTCTAAAGCTCTAGGAAGAATGTATAGATGTGGATTTGTTGACGCGGGTTGTAAGTTTTTTAGGTGGTGTCGTCGATTTGTCATTCCTTCAATGCAAGTGGTTTAAGTGGGCTATGGAAAATTAGTTTGAGTGGCTTTTAGAAACCGAAAGAAACTTTATCTATTTGTTTTGTGGGTCATGCACCTCCTTTTTATTTAATTTTCAAAGAAAATAAAAACAAGAGGCATAGCATGCATATATGCAACCGTGATATTTTATTTATTTGTTTTTTTTTCTACATAAGTTTGTATACATATATATCAAAAGTACATTACAATTCATTCTCCCACTCAATGTTATTTTTTTTCTTTTCTATATAAATGTTATTTTGGAACAAAAAAAATTGTTTTGAGTTAGCAAAAGTTTATTTTAAAGAAAAAATATTATGTTTTATTTTATTTTATATTTTCAATTTAATTAAATAAAAAATGATTTGATAATTTGACAAACGGGTTAAGGGGGTTGGAAAAGATAGAATTTCTATATGTTGCGGGTAAGGAAAGATTTAGAGAGAGAGAGAGAGAGAGAGAGAGAGAGAGAGAGAGAGAGAAAAAGAAAGAAAAGCTTATATGGAACTAATGTGACAATGAGTTGAGTGGATTGGGAGGGAATGACTCCCTCCACCCTAATGAAAAAGTAAGATCTGAAAAATAATATATGTCTTGGGTGATGATATGGATCTTTAACCTAACTCTAATTCACATTTGTCACAGATACACAAAAGATACATACCTCACTCTCAAACATAAGTATAAACTCATTTTAATTCTTGTAATTTAATGTTTGTATTTATTTTCCTTTATGATTGGGTACAGTAAATACAAAAGTTGTTTCCATGTGCTTATCATAAAGGGACCCTATCATAAGTATTGCTTAAGGCTCATACATGAGAATATGAAACTTATTTGGAAGGGGACTTTATAGGGGCTTGTTATGGAATTGTGCAATTTCTTGTATTGTCCCACATTTTGAAAAAAAAAAACTAGAGGAGCTAAGGATGCATAATCAATAAGGGTTTGAATGGTTAAAATGAATTCCATCAAAAACACTTGGTCAAGTCACATTTTATAGAAAGAGCTTATATTGATGTGTTATTGAACAACATTTATGAGGTGTTTAATAGCAAATTGATTGATGGAAGAGACAAACCAATAATAACTTGTTTGGAATACATGATGGAAAAAATGGCAAATATGCAAAAGGCTATTTATAAGGCCAATAGACCCTTGACAACAACAACTTACATTTTATATGGTATTCAAACCCAAGTCAATTAATACAGTGTAGTATACTATGTGAATTCCAAGTATTGGCTTAGTGGTCCTTTGATGAGCAATGTGTAGTATATGTTAGTATTATAAGTTTCTCATGTAGGAAGTGGGTTGTAAGCGCATGATGTTGCATTCGATTAGGATATGACAGAAAGTCACGAGCATGTAGGAATGTAGAGAGTTGGTTAAGTGTTGCTAGCTAAAAACATGGTAAATACGTATGCATTCAAGATAGAACAAATTAGAGGTAAAAGAATGTGGCCTAGAAGTGATTTTCCAATCTTATTTTCACATGCTGGTTGGAAGAGCTAAAAAGAAAAGAAATAAAACACAAGATGAGATTGCAAGTTAACACATGGTAAAGAAAAAATAACAAGTAATCAAAAAGATTACAAACCAAGGAGCTGTGAAGGTGTTGGCTCATCTAATGGAGTTCCAAGGTAGAAATCATGATCATAACCGGTTTGGAAAAGGTTATTTTGTTATGTAATGGTCTTGTGTCAACCCAAAATTGTCTTTTGTTGGTCTATGTTACTCTTATTATACTAAGTTATGGTTTGCTATGTAATGACATATTATGTCATGTTTTGATTTGGATTGTGGTTTATTGACATGGTAAATTATTATTTGGAAATTTACAAGGATGATAGTTGATAATTAAATGCAACCCTTAGATTGGAGTCTGGAAACTATCATTTTGCTTGATTCTGGAAACAATCTAAGATGTCATTTCCCAATGTGCTTGGAATCTAATTCAGCTTTCATTTTGGAAGTGATTTAATCTTGCAGTCTAAACTGGTTTGACATTTTAGCTTGGGGTTTTTGGCACTGTAGCACAATAATGTTTGACAAATTTACACATTTAGTCACTCAAGTTTTTTTGTTGCACAATTAGTCATTAAACTTTTAAAAAAAATGTTTCAATTATACCATTTTTAGCTAGGCAACCTGATGAACCAGTATATTTGTTATATTTGCTGACCTGGAAATTAAAAAATAACAAAACAACACTTTCTCACTAATCCACGTATGAAATACTTCTTTTGGCACATATCATAAACTAAAAATAAGAACAAAAATAATCTCCCACCACCACCACTATCCACCGTCTCCATCCACAACAAAATTTGGAGACAAGGTACATTTTCGGCATCAATGGAGATTTTCAAGAAGACTGACTTTTACAATATCGAACATGGGATATGCAAATATCGATTACAAACCTGAAAATTTCGATTCCAAAAACCATTTGAATCCGAAAACCCTAGAAATTCGTTTGCATTAGGTAAACCAGAAAACATAGATCTACAGACATGGATTCTAAATCTGCAAGTCCCGATCGTTGATATCTCATGCCAGAATCTTCAGAGCTTGGATGTAAGTCGGAACTCATTCACAAGGTTTCTTCCTACCTGAGTATTTCAGTTAGGGCTACGAAGTATTCTATTTTGAGGGAATAAGCTGACTGGAAGCATCTATGGTGCTCTTACTTTCTCCGTTGATACATCTTCAAGTTGTTGACATCCTAAAATTCATTATTTTGTGAAATCCCATCAGAAATTGTTGAACATATACAAGAATGAACTGATTGGGGAAATCCCGGAAACTATCT